ATAATGTAAAATACTTTAGATAAAAAATATTTGAGTATTAAATTATTTGAAATGTAAATTTTTATTATATTTAAAACTAATGTTATTTTTAATTTAGTCAAGAACAAATAAAACTGAATATAGTTTTTATATAAAATATAAACTAAAATACACAAATTACTACAATGGGCCAAATGATTAAAGTCAACCATATCTTATGATAATTTGAATAATGTAAAATACTTTAGATAAAAAATATGTGAGTATTAAATTATTTGAAATGTAAATTGTTATTATCTTAAAAACTAATGTTGTTTTTAATTTAGTCAACAACAAATAAAATTGAATATAGTTTTTATATAAAATATAAACTAAAACACACAAATTACTACAATGGGTCAAATGATTAAAGTCAACCATATCATAAAATAAATTAAACAAAAATCCAATTCTATTATAACAATGTTTAAAAGCCCAACTCTATTAAACTTATAGCCAAACAACATTAAACTCTTTATTACTACTATCCATGTTTCCAAACAACTCTTAAATGTACTTCAATTTTAATAATATAGATGACTCCAATAGTTTTATACTGCTAATTAGATCATCTCCAAAAAGACTCTATATTTTAGAGTTTTTAAAATTTTATATTTAACGTTTAATGGTATTAGAAAATTTTCAATGGTGTTTCTTTTACATTTTTACTTCATTTTTAACTCTAATAGTATTTCATTTTTTTCTTTATTTCTTCAAATTTTGAAGAATTGAACACTATTTCTTCAAATTTGAAGAAATACTGTTCAGTTCTTTGTTTTTGAAGATGAATTTTTTATTTATAAATTAATCCTCAATTTTAATTTTATTGTTATTTTATATTTAAATAAATTGACGTGTTAATGTCATCGAATTAATTTCATAGTTCATATTATTACTTTCATCTAATTAAATGTTAACAATGAAGAACATGAAATTATTACTTTCTGAGAATTTTATATTCGATTTAGAAGAATTTAGAATAAAATAAACTTATTTTTCATTTCAAAATATTTTGGTTAATCACTTAAGAGATATATGTATTTAGAGCATCCACATTAATGATCCCGAGGAGGGGAGTTCAAGTTTTTATTTTTATTGTTTTTTCGTTTACTTTACAAAAAAATTAAATAAACGAACCAATCGTGAGCCGCCACATGGCGTGGAGTCCACGAAACATTGATAACATAGGGTCACCGCAGAGACTTCACGTGACGCGGATTCAACAAAATTGAATTATTTTAATATTTTTTTGGGGGAACCGTGTGAAATTTGTGTTGAACCCTCAATGCTCATGCTCTTAGTGTTTCTTTATAAAATCTAAAAAGTCTTTGTTTTTGTGTAATACTTGTACTATATAATAATTTTTAACTTATAATAAATATAATTGTGTCGGATTACTTTTAAAACCAAATGAATAAGTAAAATTAGTAGATCTGAAAAAGTATAAGATATTATTAATAGTTAATTAAAAATAGTGATATAATATATTTAAAATATTTCTTTTTGCAAAGAAAAATGAAGAAAACCATTGAAAAACATGTTGATTCATTGTTTGAAGAACTTCAAATTTTGAAGAAAAAATTAAGCTAACAATTGGAGATGTACTAGTGCTCTAAAACCAAAAATTCAAACTTAACTTCAAAATTATTTGTAATTTATACAATGGTCCTTATATTTACATAACTAATTCAAATTCATAGAAATTTTATAAACAACTAGAACATATATAAAAATACTTCAGAAATATTAACTAATAAATTGTTATATAAAATTATAAGTAGAAATATTTAATTTTTTCCAAAAAAGAAATATATAATTAAATATCAAACTACAAATAAAATACCACATTAAATCTTGTAACACTTTTGTTGTCTAGTTCTAGTTTTAAAATATTTTAAATTTTATCTTGATGTTTTTTTAAAAATTATGTGTAAAATTTAATTTTTTTTTTACAAAAATTAAAATATTTATGAGATAAAATTTTTTAGAACTAAAACGATAAGTAACAAAATTTGTAAGAGTTTTAAATATGATGTGTAATTGCAAGGACCAAAATACAAATACAAAATATGAAACTTCAAATTTGAAGTTTTGTGTAGCAACACTCTATATTAGTATATTTAATGTTTTACTACTCAAAACTTCATATTTGAAGTTATAAAGTGTTTTTTGGCGATGTTCTTATAATGCAAACCTATTAAAAAATTTACTTCCAGCAGTCAATTTTTACCTGAAACGATTATTAGCCATTTTGAAACAAAGATTTCTAGCTTTTGTAGTAAATGTATTTTGTTGAAGTAAGATGTCTGCCCTGAAGTAGTCGATGACGTAGTTGCTTAAGCAGACATCGTGTTGAGTGGTGAAAACCATGCGAAGTCAAGATGCTGAGCTGGAGTCGTGTAGACTTGGAGAGCAAGGATGTATCTTGGAGATATGGAAAAATAAATAAACTTGAGGAGCAAGTTTATAACTTAAGGGAAGAGGAATAAATGCAATTCAAGAAAAGAAAAGTTACACTTAATGTTATCGAAAATATACATATTGTGTTCCTTGAAGACTAGGGTTTTGGAAATGTGAAGAATAAGTATAAGATAGCTATAGAGTCGTCTGTAGAGACATAGAGACAGATAGACTAATCTGATAGAGATAGAGAGAAGCTCTTGGAAGTGTTCTGGGGTCGTGCTGAAACAGTGGCTGAAGTACTTGACGGAAGAGAGACAAAATTGGGTAAATTAAGAATCCTTCAGTAGCAGCTGTTAGGGTGTTAATAGATTGTGTGAAACTGATAATCAAATCTTGTAATAAATTGTTTAAATGCGATTTCTAATAAAGCAAAGTGGTTTGTATCGCTTTTGTCTTTTGATTTATCTTATGTATTACCTATACTTGGATAAGATCCGCGCCTTGCGCGAAGTGAGTTTAAAAAATAAGAATATAAAGATATAGTTATGAGAAAAAGAAATTGATATGTTGGTCGGTTTGTAAATTAAATAGAATTTCAGATTGTTTATATAATCATTTATAAATGATGAGGGAATAAGTTGTAAGTATCGTGGTCTTACTTTATATAATATTTATACGCGATTTTTTTTGTATATGGTGAAATCCTACAAATAAAATTGTGTTTCATTTTCTTTCTTTTTTTGCTAACTTTTTATATAAGATCTGCGCACGATAAATATTTTATCTACAAACTATATATGTATACTATTATTTATTTTATATTTTATACATATTATAAAAAAATAAATAAGCAATATATAGATTGAATAACTGAGAACGCAATCACTATTATATATATAAATAATTTGGTGCGCGCAATTAATCAAACGATCACTCTTATTTATTAACAATCATTTTATGGTTAATAAATCAAAACAATCTATTTTATCTATTGTATATTAGATACAACTAAATTTAAATGACATTAACAATATCTGTAATATATTTTAAATATGGATGTTTAGTAAACAAATTTTCTCATTATAAGGTTTTATGATTATCAATATATTTTTATAACAAAATTTTGAACTATTAAAAATTGAATGCAAATTCTAAAATTAAAATATTAAATTCTCAATATTTTTTCAATGAAAAAATCAAAGTATAAGTATGTATTTTTATATGGTATGTAATTTAATTTAAATTAGATATATGTATTAATATAAAGATAGTAAATAAGACTTCTTACTCATGTGTATTATAATTAATTGTATCTTATTATAATAAAGTTTTAAACCATTGATCACAAAATTTTTATTTGAGACTTTTAACGGTTTAGTAATTTATACCCATTTTTAAAAATTCAAAAGACAATATATAAGAAAAATATAAAATTTTATTATATAAATAATGTAATTGTGTAATTTATTTTAATAATAAATATTTAAACAAAAATGGTAGAGAATATACAAATTTTTAGAAAGTGTTTATTATTGAAATTATTATTTATCATATATATATATATATATATATATATTTTAATCAAATTAGGTAGTTCTATAGCTTTTATTTAAAGAAAAAATGAATAATAAGATATGCGACCAACATCTTTCTAGTAAATATATATTTAAACTATGGTATATGTAAGATGCTCACTCTACAGTTGTGTTAAATATAATTTAGAAAACAAAGAGATATACCATATAGGATTGATGCTATTTTTAATTAATACAAACTTAAGATTATAACTTTTTAAACGATTCTCAATTAATATATAGAAAAGGGAAAATTCCATATAAATACCCCAACTAAATTTTATTAAGCTTTTTAATATCCAGACTTTTTCACTATCCAATTTAATACCTCAACTAATAATTTTGCCCACTTTAATATACAAACTTTTATAACTGTGCCCATTTTAATACCCAAACTTTGTTTATTTTAATTAACAATACTAATAAGTTTCAAACAAATTTTAAAAAGTCTCCAAAATCTAAGAAAAAGTATTTAAAATTTCTAAGTTTACTCTAAGATTTAAGAAAGAAGGTAAATAATCTCTGGAGAAAAATTAAATGTTTAAAAAAAATAATTTTGAAGGAAAAAAATAAATTACTTTTTATTTCAGAAAATAAACTAAATTCAATATATAAAACTTAAAAAACTTATTACAAAACTTAAGATTATAAAAAATTTATTTAATTTCATTTCTCTAACATATAATAAAATCAATTTTTTTTGTAAAGTTTAGAAATTTTAAAATTTTTATTGGAAACTTATTCGTATTGTTAATTAAAATAAACAAAGTTTGGGTATTAAAATAGACACATTTATAAAAGTTTGTGCATTAAAATGAGTAAAATAATTAGTTGAGGTATTAAAATGGGTAGCAAAAATGTTTGGGTATTAAAAAGCTTAATAAAATTTAGTTGGGGTATTTATATAGAATTTTCCCTATAGAAAATTGTGGTGTCATCTTTGCACTTACATATTTCTTAACATCTAATCAGTCCCACGTGTCGAAAACCCCACACATTAAAAAAAAAAACCCACACATGAAGAAAAAAAAAGAGTGAAGGACATGCACATGCAATTCATACACCCCACCACAATCCTCTCTCCTTATATTATTATAGCCCCTTACTCTCCCTTCTCTTCCCCTCTTACCAAATCAGATAGAGAAATAATTCTAATTTATCACAGTATCATGATCGGACAGCTTATGAACCTCAAGGCGACGGAGCTCTGTCTTGGCCTCCCCGGCGGTGCTGAAGCCGTTGAGAGTCCGGCCAAATCGGCTGTGGGGAACAAGAGAGGCTTCTCCGAGACCGTTGATCTCATGCTCAATCTTCAGTCCAATAAAGAAGGAGACGTCGAGCTAAACAACGTCACAGCGTCTAAACAGAAGACTCTCCTCAAAGACCCTGTTAAGCCTCCTGCTAAGTAAGCTATACATATGCATATATATGTACATATATGAATAAGTAGTTACAAAATATACATCTCTACATCTTTAAGTTCTTGGATTATATATCTTAAAATTGGTACATACAAGCGCACACATACACACACACACACACACACACACACACACACACACATATATATATATATATATATATATATATATATATATTCCTATATAATTAACTTTTTCCATAACTTTAATTTTTTTCTGGCATAATTATACACAGAGAAAACGAATTTGGCGTGGTTGATGCTTAAACACTAGTAATTTATAAATACGTACAAGGAAACAATAAAGCCATCTATAATCAAGCCAAAATAATAAAAAATGGTAACTAGTAATAACATTGATTGGTTAACACTAAATATTAGTATTAATGTTGTTGTATGTAGAGCCCAAGTGGTGGGGTGGCCACCTGTGAGGAACTACAGGAAGAACATAATGACTAATCAGAAAACAAGCGGCGCGGAGGAGGCCACCAGCAAGAAGGCCGGAAATGGCGGTGGAGCTGCCTTGGTGAAGGTATCCATGGACGGAGCACCCTACCTAAGGAAAGTTGACCTCAAGATGTACAAGAGCTATCAGGATCTCTCTGATGCTTTGGCCAAAATGTTCAGCTCCTTCACTATGGGTACGTGTTAGAAATTTCAAACCAAAAAGTACTAAAAATACAAATTAGTATAGAACGAATACTGAAAGCTCATATTTATCATTACGCAAAGCATATGTATGTGTTTTTTCAAAAACAAAAAATCATATGTATGTGTACACGATGTGTTGTTTTATATTTACATATAAATCTACATCCGCATATATTAAAAGACTAGATTACATTAAGTGTGCGAGTTAACTATGTGGTATACATTTATTTACATCTAAGCGCATAAATTTATATTATTTGTGAATGTCTTGAATAATTTCAAGGAAACTATGGAGCACAAGGGATGATAGATTTCATGAACGAGACCAAGCTCATGGATCTTTTGAACAGTTCCGAGTATGTTCCAAGCTACGAGGACAAAGATGGCGATTGGATGCTCGTCGGCGATGTTCCATTTGAGTGAGTCAAATTCAATCCCTAATGTTTCATAATTTTTAACTAATAACTCATTCATTAGCCACGTTTCCGAAATTGGTAGAGAATAAGCCAAATATATTCAAACTCCATGTGTTCTAAATATGTACAACCATGCATTGGTTGGCAAGAGACAAGAGGATCTTTCAAATTATGCAATTGTGTCGCTAAGTTTTAGCTCATTCGAAGCTGGCACACTCAACTTCTTTGCACTACATTATTGCCTAACACCTTTAGAATAAACTTTAAATGTTAACCCCTCTTATACCAACGTTCTAACCGGAAGCTTGAATATCTATTTCAGAATGTTTGTCGAGTCATGCAAACGTTTGCGCATTATGAAGGGATCTGAAGCAATTGGACTTGGTACATCGAACTCTGCCTTTGTCATTTCTGACTTTCTATTTCTTTAACTAAAATTTTAATTCACTTTTTCTTGGTTTTATTATAGCGCCGAGAGCAATGGAGAAGTACTCCAAGAACAGATCATGAATTTTATATTAAGGAAAAAGAACCTTCAGTGTTTTTGATTAATATGTATTTTTATGATTGTATGTGGCTCTCCTATATATGTGTTGTAATTTTAAATACTTGATGGGTATATAGCGCAATAGTATAATCTTATCAGTAAGATGTGGACAACTTTGTAAGGTGACCAAAAGAGAAGAAACTTAAAAATCTCTGTGTTTGTGTCATATTTATTGGCTTATTGCCCCAGCATGTGTCTGTCCGTTTGATGATCAATCACTAATTGATATATAGGCATACACATAAATGTATGTTTTGATCAAAAAAAAAAAAAACACATAAATGTATGTATGTGCATGCATATGTGTTTTGATCCCTACTCTGCTTCTTGTCGATATTATTATTCATATAAATAATTACTTTGATAATCCTAAGCTATGCAAGTCGTCGATGCTTCCAAATAGTTAGTTTGACTTTTTTGCGCTCTAATTTTGTGGGAGGAATTTATTAAATTAAGGGTACATGAGAGGGGTAGGGAGCAAGAGCATGTGCATGTTCATGGGTCTTTTAATTCATATGGCCATTATGAAATTGTAATTTGTACCATACTTTCCCGATCACGAGAAGAAAATTCATATATTTTATAATTTGTCTCAATGTTTGTGCTATATTCTAATCTAATATATACTCATAGATAATATATATATATATATATATATATATATATATATATATATATATATATATATATATATATATATATATATATAAAGTATAGTATGCACGCTAGTCTATACTATTATTTGCGAAGTGATTTTTCGCAACGAAGCTCACACATTAAAAGTTAGAGCGGTTAATATATATTTTACCCTTAATGAAATTTTTATATATAACTAATTTTATAATTAAAAACGAAATTTAAAAAATAAAATTAGATAAGTACAGTATGTTATTATCTTAGATAATAAAGAATAATTAATATAATAAGTTTATAAAAAACAAAAAAATAAGATAATTCTTATAGATGTTATTATTATCTGAATATAATATTGTAACAACATGATAATGCTTATAGATCTTAATTTTATATAAAATTGATTTTGACTTTTAAAAATAATATCATAATATTATAAAATTTAAAAATTAAAATATAAAATTGATTTTAATTAAATATTAATCAAACAAAAACATTTGCATAAAGATACTTTTAATTATATAATTAAATATTAGGTATTAAAAATTGGAACGGTTCAAGATAATGGTAGCTTTAATGAAATTTATATATATATACAAATTAGTTAAAACCAAATTTTATGTTAGTGATATAAATTTATATGTTATTATATTAGTTAATTTATTATAAATTAATAGGATAATTATCTACATTCATGCATATTTAAAACATAAGATATCTTATAGAATATTATACAATTATCTGAAAATAATCTTTTTTATTGTGAAAAATAAAAAATGTAAGTTATAAAACAATTTAAAATTAAATATTAAGAAAAAGTATAAATATATTTTCAAAAATATTTTATTTTGTGGATGTTTTTCAACATTATAATAAGCATATAGATTTTGATGAAAAATCATATAAAATATTTTAATGTTTGATTTAGGTTTTTTAAAACTATAGAAAAAAACTTATAATATTGTTTTAGAATTAATAAAACAAAAAATAATAAATATTCATAAGAAAATTATGCTCGCATATGCGGGTACAACACCTAGTTTTATGAAAAAAAAAACATAACTAGACTAAGGTCAAGCGTGCAACTTGAAATGACTAAAACAAGAAAAATAGTTAGTTTTCCACTCAATAGCTACTTGAAGATTTGTTTTTGGTTTCAAGAAAAAAAATTAATATCAATGTAACACAAAGTGTAAAACAACTTTTTTGTTTGAATTCAGTGAACATTCTTTCAAAAAAAGTAATGGGAACTCAACTCTGATGGATCCTAATTACGAAATTAATTATACACCAAGAATATTTGAGAATTAATATAAATCTGTACAGTAAGTTTACTTTTTTTTTTGAACATTAGTAGTACTATTGCTAACAGTATCGTAACTTTTTGAATTCTAAGCTTAAACCTAAACTGAATTATGAAAAAAGGTAGAATTAATAGAATAGAAAAAAAGAAAAAACTAATTACCTAATAACTAAAATCCTAAAAGCTCCATTGAAGTTTTGGCATATGCCATTATGAATGTCCAACGGATCATAATAATATATAATATAATTTAAAAGGGAAGTGAGGGAGAGAACGCAACTGGAGGAACCATGGAGAAACACTAACTCAGCTGCAACAGTGATAAAGATTGTGGACAAGATCACAAGGAATCGTATCTCCTCCATCCAGAGAATGGGACAGCATTCATACGATGGAGCCATAAGCGCATGGTTTACGACTAGATAAGTTCACAATAATTTTCAATAGGATGGGTCTGTAGCAAAATCTAAATTCTTACATACCATCGTTTCACTCAGCGTAAAAAATGTTTTTTTTTTTTGTTTAATTTAACATTCTTTAAAGAAAAGAAAAGTAAAGTGAGATATGGTAGTGAACCAAGCTCGGTCATCTCAAATCTAAAAGTGTCATGGGATCACTAAATACGAAATTAATGAGTTGTGATTATTGGAAAACGTACCGCAGATCTTTTTCTTGGATCCGACGCAACGAAGAAGTTTTTTTTTTTTTTTCTCTCCCTCGGTTCCATGGAAATTGTAGTTCTAAAGTTCTCGCATAAATTAAAAATAAAGCTACGATACCAAAATAACTCTATTTTAATACATACATATCATTAAAAGAAAAAGAATGGAGAAACATGGATTTATTATTAAACGAGCAATCAGCTCAGGCATGGTAGTAATTCGCGCAAAAAATATAATAAATCAAACTATTTACTGCGAAGAAGCGGTGGTGGCTGACAAAGACATGTGGTGGTGGCTGAACCTAGGTAACGGCTGAGCCTGAACTTGCGTTCATTAGACTCGAACTATCATTTCCTTGCGAATTGAAAGCTAATGGATGTTATCTTCTCGCAGTCGATAAGCTAGTGGATTTCTAGTTTAACTGCTACTTTAATTGGACTTCAACAACTTTAACTACTCTAACAACTAGCTAGTTTATCCAATACTCCATTCGTTGTTGGCTTTAGCCAAACTAATGCTTAGTTGCTTCTTGACTTAGTTTGTTGTAACTAAGTCAAATCAAATCTCCATTCTTCTTTAGTCTCGTGACTTCTCCTTGTCAACTTCTTCATTGTTCTTTTTACTGTTCGGTACAAGTCGGTTCTAACTAAACCATAATCTAATGTATAAACCACATCATGATACTTAATATGTGGCAAGCTTCCTTGCTTCCACTTATTCTTCTCTCTTTGTATGTTTAATCAAAGGTTCAATTCCAACATGTTTTAGTTGTTACGTTGTTTTCGTTGTTATAATGTGTTGATATGTGAGATGTTGATGGAGATTATAACCAATGGAATCAAGATAGTGACTGAAATCCATTCTGATGATGATCATGCCCGTGGTGATGATGATCATGATTATACCTTGACGAGTGAGAATTGCATTCTCACGAGCGCATGAGAATCTGTTTCTTTGATCTTTTCATTAGCATGGGATTTGACACCGTGCTTACCAAGATTGATAGATTAATTTGTGAGTTGAAGCTGAGCTCCATGGAAGCATATACATCCTTGATAACACCTTGTCCCAAATATAGAATCTACTAGTAATAAACTTGATGAAGAGAAATTTATGTGCCGCAAGCTCGGTTAGAAGATGAAAGCTTTCCTACTTTCAGGAAAATTGTCAAGTAACAGATGGTGTAGTCAAGTGTGGTTTACATATGTTCTAGAAAACTTGACAATTGTTGCTTCAGGTAGGCGAGGAGTGTTTGATGGTACGGTGGAGATTTGAGAACATTGACTTGCACTGGGAATATCGAGAACTGGTAAAAATACTCATGAAAGCTACAACTTTGAGGGTGTAATTAATGTGGCATTAGGCTATTAGCCCTTGAAGCCGAGAGTGGCAAAGACGCGAGACCAAGAAAAAGAGGATAGATAAATAAATATTGTCTTTCTATTCGACTAAAGAGTGAAATACATAACAAGTATCATGTGATTCCCTTCAAGGCTTCAAGTCATAATGCACGAAAATACGACTGGGCACAAATACTTTATACTTTGTTTGTACTCGTTACTTAACTCGGCTCGGTTTAAAAAAAAGAACTTACTATAATCAAGTCGAGTAACAAGTAAACGGATTTTATTACTCGCAAGTACAAGTCAAATATCAAGTTCATTTTTATTTTTAACTACTTGGCTTGTTACTTAATTTGTTACTTATTATCATTTACTTATCCTATTATTTATTATATATTATTTGATTTATTAAATACTTGATATCTATTTTAGTTAATTAAAATTTATGTATTATATTTTGTTGGTGACCATAATTACTCATTTGCTACTTGATGGGTATATAATCTTTAAATATTATTATTTATTCTCACCAAATTAAGTATTATGTAATCTATTTAAACTATTTATAAGTAAAAGATGAATATTAATTGTTTGATGTTGTTTTGTTTGTTACTTGTGTTTGTTAATGAACAAAGATACATTTTCTTAAATCATAGTTAATAACGAATATTAAGTAAAAGATGAATATTAAATATTATTATTTATTAATTAAGTATTATGTAATCTATTTAAACTATTTATAAGTAAAAGATGAATATTAATTGTTTGATGTTGTTTTGTTTGTTACTTGTGTTTGTTAATGAACAAAGATACATTTTTCTTAAATCATAGTTAATAATTCATTTCTGTTTCTATTTTTATGAGTACATAAAATATAAGGATGCTATATTTATATATAAGTATTTTGAAATTTTCTCTTTTTTACATAGTCTATATATTTTCTGAAAAACTTAAATACAAGAAAATAATAATATATTATTTCTGTTATAAATTTATTTAATTTTAAATTTTAATGAATTATCAAATAATTTACCAATAATTATGAATAAATTTGTAAGTAATTTACAAGTAACAAGTAATAAAAAAAGCCAAGTAACTTACAAATACGTCAATTTTTTGTAAGTACTTGAAACTACAAGTACTTGTTTTTAACAAACCAAGTACAAATCATAACATTTACTACTCGTACAAGCCAAGCCGAGTATTAAGTATATGAAAATTAGTGACTACTCGGCTTGCGCCCATCCTTTTGAAAAAGACTCAT